TCAGTGTTTTCTTCGGTTGAGTGAAACTCCGTTTACCACACGCTTTGGGCTTTTTAACTTTTTTTACATGGCAGGAAACTTGGACAGCATGAGACCTTTTACACCCCAAGATGTGACTGCAAAGTTTACCAGCTTCATCTCACCTAAAAAGTCTGATGTGTTTGAAAGGCTGAGTGTTGGTACCGGCTCCGCTTGGCAACCCGAGGTCGCAATAAAGACCATAGGTGGCATTAGTCACCAGCACCATCAGCAGAGTGGGAGGGCGACACTTCAGGGCTGCAAGACTTGCTCTCATCAGCAGCAGCAGTTCTGTCAGTTTAAGGATTACTGTTAGTGTCACAATGAATCAGAGGCCCCGGACATGTTGTCCACGTTCTGTCTATGTTGACACATTCTCCGAGGGCAAGTTACTCAAAGGATTTGTGCAGCCAGCGACAAGGGAAGTGGAATGTGAACGAGTAAACAGTGAAAATGAGAGAGGGAGCTGAAGCATTGCGTTCCTGAAAAGCTCAATTTGGACCGGGTTCCATTTGAGCAGCTTTTTCTCACTTTCATTTCCCCTGAACACAGTGAAGTGAAAGTATTAGTAGAGGTGGTACAACATGCTTAACCGTGTCGCTCTTTAAAAGGCATTTTTATTGGTTCTCATCTGAAATCATTTGCAACATTACAGCGTCTGAGTGCACGCTCTCAGAGGAGTATCTCAGGTGGGACAGACATTTTAAGGTAGGCTGCAGAGGAACAGGTATCGGTGCTCAGAGATGAATACGATTTCTTTCGCCCCTCAGAATTTGTTCCTCCCCATGGGCCTCTCCATCCTGGCGCCTGGAAGTCTCCACTGCATTTGGTGTTTCGCCTCCGTGCTTTGTCTTGCCAGCTTAATTAGCATCGGTAAAGTTTGCTTGTCAGACTTTAAGCAGCTGTGATAATGGAGCTGCTTGGCTGAGACAGAGCTTTAGAGGGGTTTCCAGTGTTGTAGGTGTGTGTGTGAGACAGCGTCACATAGAGGATTATTGAGGAATCACAGAGTGTAATTACTTCCACTACTTCAAAGAGATTCAATCAAATAAGTGAGTCCTAAATACCGAAGCGGCATTACAGTATGTGCGTGGTTTTGCAAGCTGTTTGATCATTTGCACAGATTTTACTTTTGTCACTCATTAGGTCTCTTACATGGGTTTGTGTAAAAGTCCTGAGGGGATTGAATCAGTGGTGTTGTGTTAGATAATCAGGAAAATGTTTTTAGCTCAAAAAAAAAAGTGTGTATCCCTGAAATATTAAGAGGCCGCTATTCAAACAGTTTCCTTTACAAGGATCAGTAGAGACTTGACTGTTGAGTTATTAAAAAAAGAAGAAAACTATTCTTAAATGTTGCAGATTTTCACCTGGTCGAGAAAAAAGCTCTTTATTCGGTGGCTGGAAAACTGATTGTCCCATTTTATTTAAATGAACACTGCCGGTTCTTTGCGCAGCATCATGCTGAGAGCAAATATTTTATTCATGAAAGTGTGGGATATGGTCTGTTTGTCAGTATTGTGGCCTAATAAAAGCGCCTGTATATACTCAGAGAGGTTACAGTCATATGAGCTCATTTGGAGGAATAGAGTATTAGTAAATGCAGAAGCTGAAATAGCATTTGTTTACACTTCAACAGTTTATTTCAGGTTAGATAAAGACACGATTTAATGGACCCACAGACTATAGTTTTTTTTAATTTTCATTTTAAATGAACCACTGTCTCTGGAAAACTGTCTTTCCACGAGTGAACATTTCCTCAGACATCCTCATTTTTGGAAGAGAACATAAGGTTATGACCAGTAAATGGGTTTAGCTAACATTTTTTGCACAGAACAGCCTTCGGCAAACACTGCAGTCAGCGAGCAAAAGTGAATGATGTGCCTGAGTTGCGTGTGTGTGTGTGTGCGTGCGTGCGTGTGTGTGTGTGTGTAAACCTGCCAATGGCATTGGCTAGACTCCTTCCTCCTCTCATGCTGTGGACAGGCAGACCGCTCGCCCACAGCAGCACAAGCTCATTGCCTTAATATGTTTTGACAGAGGAAGTATTATCACAGCTCTCTGTGGCCATTTGCTTCACGGAGCAGAGGCAAGCCCAAATGATTTCACAGCTTTGGAGGAGAGGTCTGGTTGACTTTCTCTAAATTATCTAGTCCATCGTCACCTTTGGTAAAGTTCTCACTGTTAATTAAGGAAATGTATAATTTTTTTAATGTAGTTTTCAAACCTATCCACTTCTCGACCATGGCAGCCGCAGCCTCTTATTAACATCACGATGCTGCATGCTTCATTTTTTCTTAGTGGCTGGAAGTTACTCATCTTGCACAATCTGGAATTTGCTTAAGTTTATGTTCCAACTACTTCACAGTGGGATGCTTTACCAGCTACACTCAGTATGCTAATAGGCTCTCTGAAAATCCAGCTTGGATATGAAAATGTAAATATTCAGTGAGAACATAGCCACTTCTGTAAGTGGGCTAATCACTTTCTCTCTCTGCTGCATCTATATTATATTTGGTTCCCTACGCTTATTTTGTGCTTCATTTCAGAATCATGTCATGTTTCCCTCTGCTGGAGTTGCAGGTTCTATCACGCAGCTTCTGTGTTGTACCTAAAGCAGGTAAAAGGATTTGAGCAGCCGGTTCAAGGATACTGCACGAGTACGATCTCACGAGAGATCAAACCCCGAGCTACGCTGCTATCTGTGTCAATAGATGTAAAATGGATTAAGCCAGCTGTGGCTTATGCCTGCTTCTTGTTTGTTTTTCTATCACATACTATATGTAATTGGTAGATGACTCACACTCTGCAGTTCACGGCTTCACCACATAGTGTCTCCGTGCTCAAATCCGTCCACCTACCACTGATGAAGCTGTCTGCCTCCCTCACTCTGTCTTTCTCAGTTTCAGTGTAATCAACTGAGATCAGACCACACACCCGCCAGCACTTAGGGCACAGACACAGTTTCCTCCACAGCACATTTGTTTGTTCACATGATTAAATAAACAGCGTTTTCTGATCAGTGTATTTTCATAAATCATCACAGCTATTACTCCTGGATAATGTCGGTTGGCTATTGGGAGAAGAGATGGAGAACACCCTAACCATTATTTTTACAGAGAAACTGGGTAACATCATTACCAATGCTTTAGTCACACACAGTTGCATCTCAGATCAGGTTGTAGCTTGCTTTTTAAACTTTTTTTTTTTCTATTTTCATTCTTTCTCAGAGATTAAAGGTACAGTGTGTAGAATTTAGTGATATCTACTGTTGAAGTTGCATGTTGCAGCTGAACACCCCCTTCCAAACATGAAAAAGAACCTGTGGAAGCCTTCACTTGTCATAAAAACTCAAAAGTTGTTTAGTTTGTCCAGTCTGGAGTACTGTAAAAAAACATGGCGGCCTCCGTAGAGAGGGCCCCCCTCCATGTAAATATAAAGTATTAAAAAATAAAGGGCCTTTTCTGGTAAAGAAAACTACAATTCATACAGTTTAGTTTAAACGAACTAGTGAAAACATCATAAGGATTATTCTACATTAAATTTCTATCGATAGTTTCCTTTCACCTAAATCTTACACACAAAAAACCAGCCCTCTATACACAGGTCCATTTTGCAAATCCCAAGTTAACCATCAGCAGATAATTGAATGTGTTTCCCGAACGCTGAACCCAAAATGCCATGTGAAAATCAATGTGGCCTGCATTATGTTATTTCCTAAATGCATCACTAATGAGGCCTCTGCTCTCCTCTGGCTGCTCTGCATCCTATAAACACATAATTTGTTAAATAAGCCTCTACGATCATGATAACGAAATAGAGAGGAGAAATATCAACCTGATCTTGAAGAGCTTTTCTGAATTCATGGCACGAAGGTGTATGAGCTGGGATCTATAATACATGTGCGAGCTAATCTCTTGAAAATGAGAAATAAATTTGAATCATGTTTAAAAATTGGGACATTATGTAAAGTCTTACCCATTTTTTTTTTTTCACACTTCATTATCTTCCATTCATCCTGCCTTGTAGACTCAGTGTTGGCGGCAATCTGTGTCGACCGGTTGGGGTGATCGTAGAAAAAGGTTAGTTGTCAGATGTGGTTAAGCTGCCACAGTGATTTAGAGGTGAAGGAGGACTTTGAAGGACAGAAAACTCAGAGTTAACACCTGAATTTACATTGATTACTGCTAATCCTGCTTTGCACTACATGCCCCTGTTGTACAACCAAAGCCAAACCCTGCCCCCAGCTCAGGTTACAAGTCAGAGTCAGGATTTATCTTAAAGCCCTTTAATGACTCACTGTCACCTCACATAGGGAGGCATTTTAAATGGTGCTGCATGTTTACTTTTGTTGTTAGAGTCAGACGGATATTAATGCATGTTGTGGTATATAAACTCCCTTCATGACAAAGAATCGATTAAACCCTTCGGTCCTTTGTGTTGCTGAGTGGGTATCTGCTGAATCTGCTAAAAACATGTAGAATCTAATTAATACAATTATCTGTTGATTTCTTGCACGTTTTCCCTTTGGTTTTGAAATGTGCACCTCTTCAGTTAAGGAGCTTTGAAAGCTCATGGAGCTGATTGATGCAACATTTCATTTCTCAGTGTTTACATCACAAGCTTATTTGGAAAGATAAAATATTTGCTATATATTAGTGACATTGGTGTATTCCCCAGCCCTATGAATAAAAATCAACATGCGGTCTGAGATCAGCTGACACACTAATGTGCTGCAGGTGTAGCATGTGTTTTTACATGCACACTGGTATGATCATGCAGCGGAGTGTTTATCTAGGCCACCTGCTCCTGGGTCTGTGGTTTGTCTTTATTCTCTGCCTCTTTGTCCGCAGTCAGAACAAATCAACAGCAGCTGAATAATGAGGATTTATTGATGTTGTGACTGATTGATTGACACAATTTCAATAGCACCTTCAGCACCCCTGTAATCAAGATCAATAAAAAAGAGAAACATGCGATTGCTCGGGAAATGTTCATCTTGAAGGATTGGTTGTGATCGGGAGGGATCGCGGATCGTTAAATCGGACCATCTGTGTTATGTAACCCGCCGTGGAGCCCGCTGGGTCGGCCGTGCGGTTGACGTTACATCGTGACGACGTGTGATTGTTGAAGACGCACGGGGACCTGACATCTTCACCAGGGATGGATGAGCGCTCCACGACCAGGAGACACCCCGATGCTCCGCTCAGTGCGTGCGAGGAGCCCGTGATGCGGCAGAGAGGGAGACGCTCTCCCTCCGCCTTCGTGCAGCACCAGTGATCCGGGGGATGCGGTTTTCCGGCGCCGTCGGTCGCTGACTGACTGACTGAGCCTGTGCGCCGACACCAGGAGGAGGAGGAGGAAGGAACATACTGGGTCTCTGCTGGAGGTATCACTCGGAACCATGGCGGGCGCGAAGCTGACGCCCTCGCCCTCGGAGATCGACCCAGACGTCAAGACCGAGGTGCAGAAAACCCCGGAGCCCACCTGGGTCAACCCCTCCAGCCCTCTCCGGACCACGGGCTCTTTCGGAAGCGATGCCGGCCAAAGGTAGCTGCTGCAGATCCGCACCGGGGTGGCATGTTTGTGGATGCAGCCGCTTGCACACATGCAGCATCCGCGAAATGTCATGATGCTGCGAGCGCATGGTGCATGAAGTCTTTTTTAATAACTTAGCATGAAATTATCCTGACGTGAAAGTTGCGCCTTGATCGATATTTCATCATCATTAAATCTAGTCACCGATAAATTGATGTATCCCAAGGAAATTCAAAGGAATTTGAATGACATAATCGTTACGCACCGAATGGTACAGGCTATATTCTGCCCTGTGGGGTTAACGCATCCTGTTTATGAGTCCTCTCATGACAGATACTGAGGATGAATGATTGCAACGATTCTCCTGTCAATCACTTTCTCTTCCAGCATGGCTGGGATCCTTTTAATGGCTGCAGTGTATAGTGATTACATAATTCAATGAATGCTGCGTTTACATTACATTTTTATGAATCCCATAGAGAGAGAGAGAGAGAGAAATTCTCCACACTGCTTCATGCAAGAGGTGAAGTTGTGCTGTAACCAGATTGATTGAAAAAAAAAAAAGAAGCAAACTACGGGTGATTGTGTTCACGTGCCTTCATTATTCTAATAAACCTATATTTCAGCACATGGCTGCACCACTCCAACGCATCTGCTTGCAGACTTCGACTGTGAGGACACTCTCCTATCATTTGCTAGACAAATTAGATTGTGGTTTGTGCAAAATGGGATGAGCCTGTAACGACTGAGGGAGCCATGATTTCTTTTCCTTTTTTTAAAGAGAGACAAAACAACTTGGGAGCTGCAGGTAGACTCTCTTATCCACGGGTTAGGTGTGCTTGTTTGGCAGCGTGTCAAACACCACTGCACAGCCAATGTGCTGGTGGTGCAGTGTGTTATCTCTCAGTGTTTACAGCACATATTCCTCCTGGTTAAAATGTATTTGAGGGCGTTGATATTTTTGTGATCAGAAATGTGGAACACTTGCTGTAGCATTTTTGTAATACGGAACGGCCGCAACAGTGGCATGGGGAAAACATTTAAACGCATCTATTTGACATTATCAATGTCAGATCAATATATTTAAATCAAAATATGTAATTAAATAATGACAAAAGTGTTTTCGATCATCACTTGAGTCTTAACCCTGAGGCTCTTCTGTGTGAAGTCTGTAAATATTAAAGACCCCATATTTAATACATTCCCAGTGTTTTATTTGATATTTCATCAGAAGATGAATCTGTGACCTGTACAGAAACCATTTTACATCAGCAAATGATAAGAACATGAATTTTGTCGCAGTGTCTGAGCCTCTCTGACTGTTTGTGTCAGTGATGCCGAGCCAGACCCACCTCAGGTTCCATGGTAAAACATACATGGTGGTGATTGTGTGTCAGGTTTGAAATCAGCCAAATAGATCCACAAAATTAAACAGAAATGCTCAAGCAGAAGAAAATTAACATTGTTGAAGTTTCTTACATGGTGTCATGGGTCTAAGCTAAGACATGGAAATCGCAAGTTTATGGGACCTTTAAAAAAAAATTTAGCTCTCCCTCCTTCTCTGAAAATTATATAAACTCCCATCAATAATAAAGACACACTGAGAAACCTTCAGTGATGTAAGTCCACCACAAGCACTGAATTTCTTAGGCAACTAAAACCACTGTTTAAAAAGCTGAACACAAGCACTTCTGCAAAGGAAAATGTCTGTAGCTTAGCTGCTCTATCGTACAGTATGTAACAGACCCAGGAGGATGCCATGTTGTGTCATAGAGCTGGAAGCGTTATCTCATAAATCATCTTAAAGATACATCAGGGAGACTTTGCACACTGGAGGCATCTTTACAGTTTTTTTCATTTTTGCTTTAAACTTACCTTGGGTAGAAAATGCATCTGGGTGATTGGTGCACTTTTGCTTGAATAAATACGGATAAAGGATAGTTTCTTTCATTTTGAACCATAGCTGCGGTATAGCTCGGTATCAGGAAGTGGAATAGTAGTACTGTATTTGAAGTTACGTGAATAGTGCTGATAAAAGTGGGAATAATACTGATATTCATGATGATGAAACAGACATGCAGCTGCGATTACCTAATTAAACATACTGACGGTGAATAAGTATGAACTATGACATGTGCCATGAAGGCGATGCTGAGGCTCACGGTGTTGGTGGTGTTCCCTCGCTGGTGGCAGTGATGACTGCAGATCTGTTGGAGTGATGAAGATCTTTAAGCCAGTGAGTCAACTGACAGCTGGTCTGGAGACGAGCATATTGACTGCTGATCAGTTGTGAGAAATTAAAGGATATATAATGTGCTGCCAGACTGTTTGTGTGGGAATCTAATACACAATATCCGCAAAAATCGGTGGGCTGTAAAACCTAATGGATCAATTGGCCAGTTGCCCTGGGTAACCAGATTAAGACCACTGTCCGCCAGTATGGAGAGGTTGGCAGAAGTTCTTACATCTAAAATAATTGAATAGATGTTTGCCGAGGATTGTCCCCCTGTCACATTACTGCCTTTCAGAAATGACAAAACTTTTATTTTATTTGCAAAGTCTACATAGTCCCTTGAATTTCCCCCCGAGGCCGACAGGATGTTGTCAGGAATCGGAGAGCTCTCTACTTTCTGAAATGCGATCACCGTGGGATTTGTGTCGAGCTGGCTGGAGAAATGAGAGGACATGGAGGGAGGAGTGAGAGAATCAATAATCTGCTCCTATATCGTACCACACTGAATTTATGTATTCTGCATAATTTACAGCACCGTCGAATCCCCTTTAGGATTGTGTATATAGAAAACTCTATATAGTATTGACATGTAAATACTGTTGGCAGTAAATGAGACTTGGAGGATCTTTAAGAACAGAGAGATTGATCATCTGTTAAACCCAGGAAATGATCCAAAGAAACTCACTCAGATTTATTATGGCTTTCTTCTGCTGTTGCCAACACCTTCAGGGAAAATCTGCTTTGAAACTGGACATATGAAGATCATAAAAAATCTGGTTCATATAATTGGTTTTATTGATTTAAGTGTGAATTCATCTTTGTGCAAAAGTCAACACTAATCATTTGTATGCTCCCTGTTCTTTACTGTTTTTCTTATCCCAACGCAGACACTTTTGGCCCAGCTATTATTCGTCTTTTGCTGTAATGTATTCAATATGTATGTAATGAATATAGATGCAGCAATGACAGCTGGTGTGATGGATTGTGGGTGTTTGTATTGCAATTTCAGTCTCAGTTTCAGAAATGTCCTACCCCTCGTATTCAAGGGTAAACTATTAACTATAAATAATCTGTCGAGTTTGAAGATGGGCTCACAGGAGTTTTACAAAGCGAACCCATTTTGAAATAGGTTGCATCATGCACATGAGAGTCTTCAGATATTCTCAAACACACCCGCATAACAAGATTAGAAAATATATGCACATCAGATGCTACAGGGTTTTATTGAGATTATGGCTCCAAAGGCAGCCATGCACGAACCCACGTCTCTCATTAGACCTCATGGGGACGCAGATGTAAACAAATGGAGAGTGGCATGGAGCGACAACTTGCTCTATATACTGATAACAAAAGCAGACAGATAAACAAGTCTGGATAACACGATGGTAAGAGAACTGATGAAATCATCTCGATTTTGAATACTGAATTTTAAACATGTTTGATAATCATTGATGCCGCCCCGTGCGGGCTGTAAGAAAGTGTAATAATGGGTCAATAACCCCTCTTACTATCTGATAATCTGGGTGAAACATTGGTAACGACCAAGGCTCCCAACCAGATGTCCTCCGATTTTCCAGCGGGCAGAATAATGGTTAAATTGGCTGTTGTCTGAGCCCAGGTACGATCTGTATTGTCGAGCTTCACCTCAGGATATGAAAGCAGAAGCACGCCTTGAGAATTAAATCTTCATTAATCTGCTGCAGCTAAAGGAGAATTACTTCTGGTGTAGGTAGTGATCAGTTGGGCTGTAACAGGAAGGTTGAGGATATTTACACCGTTTCAATAAATATGAAGATCAGTGTTGATGAGAGAAGCATCTCATGTGAACCAACAGGATGTGTTATTTTGCAAACCTCCTGTCTGTTGTTTATAGTCTCAACTATTTTATATTCTCTCTTAGTTTGTTGGAATTTTTATGCAGAGTTTTATCGTTACTACTTTCTCACAGTGACTCACAGAATAATTTGTTCCTCATTAAGATATATTTCCTCACAATGTTCGGTTTTACTTATTTAGATCCTTTAAAAACCCATTGCTGCTGAAGTACAATCGTTTTAAATGACTGTTGCTGCAGCATTTGTCCTCCCATTTGTTTTATCTGAGTTTATTTGAGTTTATCTATAGCACAACGCTTCTCAAAGAACAATTACGCTTTCATTCATGTACACCCCAGGTACATGTTGATGATTAGTGTTCGTTAAACCAGGAGGATAAAATTGTCAACTTGAGAGGTGAAACTCAAATTTTCAATCTAATTACATGCAAGTGGCCTTTTTAATGGACTGAGCTGCTTTGTGTGTTTGGATGTGTGATGTACATCATGTGGCGGAGGTCGGATCATTGATCATCTTCTCATGTTGCCTTCTCCAACTGCTTGAAATCATTAGTCAACACCAGCAGAAAATCTATTAGGAGGCTTCACGAACATGAGAATGTGAGATAATTAGAAAAGAAGCTCATGTCAGCTCCTACGTACAGTGTCTATAGACATGTTATATGTGTGGACTCCAGTGTTGTCATTAAGAGAGTGACTTTGCAGCAGGATTTGTTCGGCAGCAGTTGCCTTTTGTTATCGTCAGAGAGCATCTCTGTCCTGATGCGTTAAAATAATGGATGACGCAGAATCAGCAATATCCATTGTTTTCTATCTTATACCACAGTTAGACTGAAAAATCCTTATTTTTCCAATTATATTTTCCCTCCTCCAGATTTACAGGTTGCTTTCAGTCATATAACAGCTGGTTAGAACTTTTTCTCAAGTTCTTGTAACTGGTAATGTGGCACGAAGCAGAGGTACTGTTCCTGGAGGTGTGATCTATTACAAGATTTAATTGCCAGTCAGTCAGAAACAGGTATTTTCTGTGATCATGACTTGTTTTTTCACTCTTGTTGTATGTTATTGGAAATGCTGCCCTCAGTGATCCTTTTTAACCAGGTGTTAAGTTACTGCGTCAGGACTTGTCATATTTTTGGACGGGAGAACCCGAGCTGTCTCTGTGACGTGTGAGGGACAGTTTGGGATGTGTAGTTTACACGAAAATGTTGGCAAGCTTCCAGAACGGCCTAGAAACTACAAATCCCATTTGTCCTTGAAATTGGTGCAGAGATTGTGTGTGTGTGTGTGTGTGTGTGTGTGTGT